GTTAAACAATGGGACTCGACTAATATAAAGCAAAGCTTAAAGTATAATTCACCGTCTTTCCATAACATTTTCCCAACACAAGTAAAGGCTTTTAAAGTGCCCCTAACCTGTTCTATCCATTTTTCCGATTTGCCACGCTGTGTAAATGACGCGGGAAAGATGCAAACTTCCATTTGTGTAAGTAACATTTCCCGGAATATCCTGATATTTCTAAATTTTCTAAAGATCCGACCTGATCCGACCTAATCCGACCCGTACTGGCGATCCGGTCCGACTTTTACACCTGCCTTTTCTTTCTAAAATACTATTTCGCTAACTTCTCTGGAAACAATGTCAAGCACTTTGCGGATGGGTTGCATTTCATAACTGCCATATAGTGACTCTCGATAGAGGCCCATACAGTATTACGCTTTCCCCAATGTATTGTAGGTATCCTCTACAGTTTTACTCAGTTCTAAGGAGCTAGGAATGGAATATAGGAACGATAAAACCTGGGTCCATGGATTATGTCTTAGAGGTAACTTTCAGCCTGAACAGCGATTTCATAACCTACGTTTTTGCAAACAAATAAATCGTTACTGTCAGAATATTGTTCACATCAACATTTTATACTGATACCTTGATCAGATCAGCTATATCAAGGGCACTTCTCCCAAAAACAAATATAGAAATAATCTATCATTATTTGTCCTGTTTTCGGAACAAAGGAAACACTTTTCGCCGTCAGTCATGGGTTAATATGTTAACAGCAGTAAACACTGAGATATATTTAGCACTGAACAATTAATTAGTCACTACTGAATTTGGCGTTTCCTGATTGGTCAAGTTGAAACAATCGGAATGGAATGTGTTGTTGCAGTGAGCAGCCTGTTAGTGGGGAGAAAACCTCGGATCCGCGAACAGGCTGCGTAGGAGATTAGTATGAACTTGGAAGCAGTTCAACCACCTCTGTGTGCATTTGTTACCTTCGTCGTATTAATTTTACATTCTCGTCATCGACAAATATCACTGCAACAACTTCGTCTTCCTTCTTAAGTTTGATCTTTATTGCGTGCGCTGTTATTACAGTAAATATTTATACAATTTAGGGACGGACCATTAGCAAAGTGATGGGGGGGGGGGGTTCTAAGAGGCAATTTTTTTTTGTACACCTATAGAAGTTATTTTTTTTTCTCACTTGAGATGGCTGGAAATATTTTTTTAAGTGAAATTTATAGGCCTATTTTCCAAGCTAGGAATTATTTTTTTGCACTATGCCTGGGAAGATTTTTTTCCCCCTAATTATTTTCTGGGGATAATTTTTTTTTTGGTCGCCCCGCATCACTTTTCTAATGATCCGTCCCTTAGCATGCAAAAAAAAGTTCCAGCTATTAGCCTATTTATATTAAACAGGGATGCAGGGACTGGGGAGGCAGGAGGGATGGAGGCCCCTCTTGCCCTTTACCAGGAAGGGCAAGGGAAGCAAAGATGCCCTTTTAATTTGGGCGAAGGTCCCTTTGATTTAAGAAAAATAGTTGTTATTAATAAAAAGAATCTTTCCCGTTCTTATATAGAACTCTATAAACTAAGAACTGTATATATGTAAACCGGACCGGTTTCCAGATATATATATATTTAACAATTATTTGCCGAAGGCGAGGTGATTATCAGGGAATATTCGCCGAGACGAAGTCGAGGTGAATATTCCCCGATAATCACAGACATCAAACTTTCGTCTTATACTTTGAACATTTGTTTAAACTAGCGCCCAGCCTCCACTGACTAAAGAATTGTGTAATAGCAATTAAAATTTAAAAATCAACATGGCGGAAAGACCATGGCGCATTTCGCGTTTGCCAAAGTGTTTGATATATGAATCTAGCGTGTCCTGAAGTAAAGTTGCAAAAATGATTAGAAAGGATAAAAATTTGTATGAGGTAGAAAGGAAGGTTTACTCCGGCAGACGGGACAACGTAAATGTTCGAGTTGAAGTTGATGTTGGCCAGGATGTTTTCATGCATGTGCTTGGCAATTTCCTGCTAGGGATAAAGGAGAAGGGAAGGACTGTATACCACTTACCGTCAAACAGGTTACTCGACGCCGTTCTTGGCTTGAAATGGGATGAAAGAATATTCAATACAAATGGGGATTTTGCTTATGTGATTGAAAAGACAACCGCATTTTGGCTCAGCAAGAAATCTTCTGTTGTTGAATACAAAAAATTAGGTGATGGAAAATACATTAAATCTGAGATTGAGGATACTCCTCAAGTAATTTTTACATTTGTGCGAGGTGATGGGAACAAAATACAGTACAATCAAAGACATTAGCAAATCTAGCTACTTACATTTATATTATTGTATTGTTACATATTAAATTACCAATTTTCCTGTGCTGTGCGCAAATCATGCTGATGATGTTCTGTGCACAATTTTGTCAGACATATAATACAATTATAATAGTTTTGTTTGTGGAAACACCACGTAAATTTATTACTGCAATTTATTTACGTGGTGTTTCCACAAACAAAACTATTATATTTTATCACCATGCAAACATACAAAGAACTTGTATAATACAATTATAATACATAATTATATATATGGTTTTATTGTGCATGCACTTGGCAAAAAATGAGGTCTGGCACTACCTTATGTACTGCATGTACAAATGCTTATGGTCATGCTGTGCTAAATTGATTGCCATATGTGCTTAATTAATACCCAACAGTTATGCAATTTTTCTATATTTACCATCGATTTTAGTAAAATGTGAACAGCATATCCCATGATTACAGCTGCTACATTTTACAGTGCAGGTCTTAATTGTATGGCCTGCAGTGTTACAATTAGAACAAGTGTAACCTCATTTCATTCTAGCGCATCCAGCAGCCTCTAAAAGCTGTACTCGCTTTCTTTTAAAAAATAATTGCTTAATGGCAGAGATACCTTGGTGATTAGTTGACCTAAAGAAGCTTTTTGAAGTAATGTCATTGTACTTTTCCATACCTTGTTGAGTAAATAGTTCAATGTTACCATATAGAGAAAGAAATTCTGGAACATGTGAGCTGAATGCATGCATATATGGTGTCACATCTTTTGTTTGATAAACAGTTAGGAATTTGTTCTTCCACATTTTGACATTTGATTTGAATTTGTCTACATCAGCAAGCTTCACGTCCTGCTTTAAATCCATTCATTCCAAATTTGTCATTCCAAATTTGTTGTATTATTTCGCTGTGAGAACAATTTCGCAAAAGGGATGAAATATCGATATTCTTGAAAAGTTTTTGCTTTTCTGGCCCAGTTAAATCTCTGTATTCCAGCTGCTTTGATTCTTTACCAACATAGAACTGAAATGGGATCCCGAGACTTTGAAGTTACTTTTCATATTCAGCCATGTGCTTATACTTGTCCCTAGGAAAATTGTCTGTGAATAGCTTCTTCCTTTCAATTGCATCAGCTCTTTTCAGCTCCCTAATAAGTAGCTTTATAAGATTATCTGTTATTCTTAGATAGAGGTGAAGTGTATCTATGATAACATCACGACTTATTGGAATAAATGAGAATAAGGGTGCATGATTACAATTATACTTCTTTGTCTTAGAAAATTTTTCAATTTTTTCTAAAGACCTTGCTCCAAAATGCATATGGTGTACATGTCCAGGATCCAAAATGGACCATGATTTTTCCATGTTATGCCTTTCAATTTTGGGACATGTACACCATATGCATGCATAATTAGCATTTGCACCACCAATTCCACAGACACATGCCAAAAATTTCCAGTCACCACCCAGAAAATACTCTAGATCATATGTTGTGCCATCAACATTAATGCTTTTTGTTTGTTCCATTTCCTCAATAATATTTGATAAGCTCTCAGCTAATGTGTCATAAATTTCTTTTGTTTTGATTACTGCCAAAAGGTAATTGCCCTTTTCACTCATTCGCTCGATTCTTCTCATTTAGGATTGTGTAGGTAATACTGACTATGTTTATTCTCTTCCCAACCTTGGTACCATCCCCACTGATTTTGATCTTCACTGTCTCAACAGTTTGATCTTCACTGTCTCATTGAGTACACCAGTTTCTCTTAGTCGCTTGATTTGCTCAACAACACTTTCACAGAAAGTCATTTGTATGCCATCTTGCTCTGCTGAGGTTGGTTTTAGGTTCCACTTTTTATTTATTTCGTTCATATGTTTTATTATCCTATTTAAGCAAGGTGACGGTGACTCATCTGACTTCATTGATATTTCATGCCAAGCCTCGTTAGATATATGAAACCTGTCCTTCAAATAGAGCTAAGTATTTAGATCATTTACCTCATCTGCTGACATCTCTTTCTCATCTCCATTCACATCATCATCTTCGACGAACGAAAAACTTTCAATTTCCCCAGAGCTTGTGTTGTACAACTCAACCTTTGATGGAAGGAATTCATAAAGCCCAAGAAATGACAGTCCAGTTTCACATTGTTCTTTTAATTGCTTTCGGACTCTTGCTTGGTGTTGTTTTGTGTAGTCCTTGAACTCTTTTTTTCTAGCAGGACCTCGACCCTTTTTATTAGCACTGATTCTTCCTATTTTTTAACAAGTTGCTTAAATTTCCCTTTGTACTTGATTTCCTTTGCTTTCATGGTTTCTTCTAAAATACCAATATCCTTTTCAAGTCATCTTCGTTTGACTGATTCAAATGTTAATTTGTCCTCTAGCAATCGCTTTTCCTTTTGTAATTTCTCATTCTTTTTGGACAAATCCATCACCTCAATTTCACTATAATAAATGTTTACTTTGTAGCTGGTATTCTTCCAAGTATTAAGCAACCTTTTGGCTGGTGTGCCACCTGATTTGCTTGCCTTTTTGTGTGCAGATTGCATTTGCCATATTCGTTTCTTTAATACATTCAGTAAACGGCTTCCCACATTAATACCAATAATGGCTGAATCCAGCAGTATTTTATTCACAACCGAGGCTAACCACATATCGTAGCTCTGATCTTCAGATTGCTTGCTGTTCGAATATGTAAATAGCAGGAAACTACAACATACAATATAATCAAAATCTATATTATATACCTTTTATTAATAGTTCTATCAAGGAGCAATCAAATCATATTTGCGTAGGTCTACGTATTTATGTAAACAAATTGATCTTACTTGTTTATCTCGTACACAACAGAAGGAATTGTAGAATCAACCGAGCATTCGCCTTGTGTATCTTCCCTAACTGCTTCTACCTGATGAATTATTAATAAGGCAGACAACAGCAGATATACTCCGAACTTCAATGACATTTTGCCCCCTTCTATTTTGCATAAATATCATCAATTTAGGTATCAAAATGCGCCAAATTAAACACAAAAAATTGATTTTCGCGGTACCTTTTGCTGTACGCACACGCAGAAAGAGCTAGGACCCAATCCATTCAACTTATCCCCTGATGCGGATCGATTCTTATAATAAAGTCTGAAAAAATACCATGAAACATTTGCATTTTGCCCCCTCTAAGTTTTATTAATTTCATAGTAAAGTACATGTAAACGACGTATCAAAACCCGTATTTTTCACATCCAGTGGTACCTTTGCGCAGTTTTTTGCAAGAAACGAACGCGATAGCAAAAACCTCGAATTTTGCAACAAATTATATTACAGTATAGTTTGACATATGACACCGCGAAACACGATAATTATTTGTTCACGCAAAGTTTGATATGGCCAAGCCTTAGTATTTTTACACAAGTCTTTTGTGTTATTTGGGACTGAATTTATTTTAATTTCACTTATTTCTTTATCAGTAAAATGGCTTGGCCACCATTTTGAAAATTTCGGTTTGGTTATATTCACCTGTAGGTGAATATAACAGCTTAATACGTCAAATTTGACCAATCAACTTGTAGGATTTGTTATGTTCACTTGTGCAAAAATACTAAATATATATATTCAACGTATATTCTCAGTATAATATCCTTACAATTTTCCAATATATCAACCGCCCCACAACTCCCTAGCGTGTCCAAATTCTAAAATAATACTAAAATAACTATAACAGTAACACAGACAAAATACAGTTTAATTAATAGTAACAATTTTTTTCTGATAAATTTTAAAAAAAGTGTCAAGTATTACAATACACCCCCCTTGGATTTTCAAACATTTTTGAGCATTTCATCTACGATACCCTCTCGGTTTTTTAAAATTTTAAGTGAATCATCTATGTCACCCTATTTATTGGAATTTTCAATTTTTTTACCCCTCCCCCCTTGGATTTTCCATCTATTAAATGGAATGGCCCATTGGCAGCTCTTTTCTCCTGCGCTGGTGGTATGAATGCAAATTTTAATGGATCAATTATGTGGGCTATGAAACCAAAATAACATTTTTTGTGGGGCCATTAAACTATACTGCAAACTGATGCAGGGCTATGATTTGTTTTTAAGATTTGCACTTTCCCTTCCATCCCCCTCCCAGGTTGAATTTATGACAGCTCCCTAACATATCTTAAATTACATTTGTTTCCTTCAAATATGATTGTTACTTGAGCCATGTGTCTGAATTTCTGTTGAATATAATTTTGAATTTGCCGCGTTCAATTTGCATAAAAAACATACAAAATGTTGGTTTCTGGCAAGGAAAGAAAAAATAAAATATCAATTCAAATCTATTATAGTAAATTCTGTACTAAATTGTGCACTAATGCACTATTAATATCAACAATTTAGCAATAATTGTCTTTGGCATATAATAATTTGGCACTTCTAGACCTTTGACAAGGATAACTAGAAAATAAATGCATGCAGAAACCCTCGCCTTGCTGACAAAACCATTGTATTTTTCGAACATGAAGTATCTAAAGTAGTTGTCATGGTAACAAGATAATTTTTTGAGAATATTCTTACAAATGAAAAATCACCTAAAAATATCACTTTTAATTACAAAATTATCAATTTCCCAACATATATATCTAAGGTATGGTATTATACGTAATATAAGCTTCAATTTATTTACTTCAATAATGGGGGGGGGGGCAAGGGGGGACAAGGGGGGTCTCGTCACGAAATCACAAAGATCATTTTTAGATTTCACAAGTCACAAAAAACAAAATTTCATTTTCACAATTTTTAGAAACACAGAAGCGTATAAACAAAGTCTAAAACTATTTAACGATTTTCTAGACAGTAGAAATAGATGTTAACACAAGCACATTTTACTGATTTTAACATTAGACATTACAAGCGTGTTACGATGGTTCACAAGGAGATACGAAGGTATACGAGAACAATGTTTACGATGAAACGAAGAAACCTCAACAAAGACAATGGCGGGAAGCAAATTTATTCATTTTTTTAACATTAATATTAAATTTGGGCCGAGTTTTAAATGTAAACATTCACAAGTTGGGGTAAAATATTGGTACTGAATTCAAGACCCTAGCTAGCCCTTTTAGCTCTTCACAATTCACGGCACGCATATTAACCACGATTTACAGAATGTTATTTCTTCAAATCACGAAGCACGAATAATTGCTAATCACAGGTCACGAAAATACCCTTCCCCTCAATAATATTACGCTTCGCAAAACGTTTTAAAGTGTTCTTTATAAAACTAAACTGCCTTTAATTAACTCATTAAGCGGCAAGCTGCTACAATGTTTCTACCTGCCTAAGGCGCAAGCAATATGGCGAATACGTGATTGAATTCAAGAGCTTTCACCAAAATGGCAATATCTCAGAAACAGTTGCACAAAAAAATCTGATCTTTTCAACAAAACATTAGTAATATATGATTGACCAAATTTAGTTTAAATGACTTTGCATACCTACATATCTCATTAGTTTTTTCAATGAGAATTTTCATTTGTAAAGCAGTGACACTTTGTTTTTCATGTCACTCATCACCTAAAGGGGCAATATCTCCATAAATTTATATAAAAACAAAAAAAAAATTCATTTACTAAATTAGTACATATCTATATTATAACCAATTTTCATCTTTTGGGATATGAATTAGAAAACGATAAAAAACTATAAAAAATACGCCTTTGCTTTTTTTGGGCAAGATATTTACAACATGAAATTTAGAACAGTGACTAAGTGTTCAAATTCAACAAAATGTGCAAGCCAAAACACAGTGCTTGTTCATCTTTGGAGTTTTTAATTGCCTCAAATTTTTTTAAAAGGACATATGGTACTAGAATTTATTTATTTTCAATATAAACAAAGGATGGGAAGGTGAGAAAATAGGAATTTTCTGAGGTGTTTTTAACACAGACAATGACAGCCGACATTTTCAAAGGCAAATTGCGGTGAAAAAACCAAAAGTTATTCACTTCTCTACTCAAAGCACTGAAAAACACCATAAAGAGAAAAACATTTTAAACATACATCAGGTAGGTCTTTTAGCTCAATTTTCTGATGTTTCTGTTTGGAAAGAAACGGTTTTTAGCCAAAATTATTTTGCGCTCCAATGTAGGCTGCTATAAAATGTCAGACACACGTTTTCTTTTGAAGTCTGGCTCTAAAAAACAATCGCTTTTTTTAGTTTGAAATAAGCTTTCATAAGGACTAATTGTGTAGAAATGTTATCTGTATGCTCAAATGAAAAAGATAACCTAATATTCAGGTATTCAACATAGCTAAAAAAGGGTGAAATAAGGACTTTCATCTTAGGTTGTTTGTCAGACATGAGCAGGGCGCTTATATATAGGGCGGTGCAACGGCTATTGGAGCGCTGATCGATGTGTGATGCAGAGGTATGGTGACGAGTCCGTTGCTGTTGCCATGGCGACATTGTTTAACAACAAAATGGTGGGTACGCTTGAGCAGGAAGCTTTCGAAAAAAATATTAATGAGAATGAACAAAAAAATCCATTGCCATACAACTCTTTAGCAGATTTTTCTACTGTACTTTCAAGTATAAATAAAAATGTTTTGAAGTCTCTGCTCGAAACGCTTGACAAAGTTTACAAACCAATGTCGAATTGTAATATCATTGGTTTTGCAAGCTTTGCTTGACACCTGTAAAACTAAGGTTGTCGATGATTTTATACAAAGTGTTTTAAAACTCGTTCAAGATTGTTTTCACGAGACCGAAGATGTACCAGTTGTTCAGAGAGCAGTAGCACTCGAAAGAACGTTTTCACGAAATAGATCTGATGGCATCCACTACTTGGCAGTAAAACAATCGTGGGAAAAGTTAATTTTTTGCTCAGGTCAAAACGTACAGCTCAGCTCTGCTTCAGTGGATGTAATACTGCAGCAAATTCTCCAGCATTTCTGGTTCACCAGTACCAATAGCAATACTCAAGATGCAACAGTAGATATATCGAATGTGGATTCACTCCCTGCAACTACAAGCTATATTGATGCAAACCAGGACAATGACACTATTCAGGACCATGCTGGGTGGGCAATAAAGAGGGCAAGGGATGTTATCTTCAAGGGACAAAATGAACTGCCGGCGAAAGCGACTGTTGATGAAGATTCCCCAGTGATTTTTGGCAGCAAGACAGACGCATTGACAGCCAGATGACAGCTACAGATTTAGGATTTACGAGCATGTTATTCCTTTTTTATATTTCTGCACAAATTAGCCGAAAGTTTATTAAGTCAGGAAAATATACTTAGGGAAAAAGAAAACATTTTAAAGTTTTGTCTTGACCGAATGTCAACTAATAAGGAATTGCGAAGTAGATGGAATGAACTGACACCAAATTCGGATATACGAACATCAGTTGTTGTGTTGCAAAGAATCGTTACTTTTTTCATGAAATCCAAACAACAAATAATTCGGGAAAAAGAAGGCCTTAAACCCAACAAAAATAGTGTAGCTCTGCGACAGCAAATCAGACGACCAAATAAAAAATGTTCTACAATATCTTCCACTCAGACGACAACGGACCATCATATACAAACCTTGAGAACCAATTTTGACAGTTCTTCTTTAGACGTGTTTTTACTCCATCTGAAAACTTTGCCCCCCTCTGAACAAGAACATATATTGGGAAACCTTCAAGGGAAGGAACTGGGTAAAATTTTGAAGTCTTTGGGTCAGCCTGCATTTTTGGGGAAAAAGAAAGAAAAACAGATACAGACCCTCCTTGAGGCAGTGAAGGGGGGGGGGGGATGGTATTCCTGATGAGGTAAGTTATAGTAAAATGAAACCACACAACATTGGCAATGAAAAAAGAAATTTTATTTATTATATATATATCATGCATAATTGCAAAAAGTTTATCTGCACTATATAATTATCACCCCCCTGTTTGAACCCCCCTCCCCAACTCCCCCCTCTCAATAATTTAACTACTGTAATTTAACATTGTCATAGGCCTTTCAGCAAAAAGAAAGTCTATATGTCTGTGACAGTTAACAACCATGTGTATAAAAAGCACACCCTCTCAAATAAATCCCCATGATAATCTACTGTTCTGAAAACCTAATGTACGTAGTACATCGAATATAGAGTCTGGATATAAAATCATCCAATAATTATGCGCACTATACAAATATTTCCCTCCCTTTTCATCTTAACCCATTAAGCACCAGCGCTCTCCCCTTGACAAGTAAAATGCTAAAGTAGGCTGCATCAGGGTGCATTGCCACTCAATGGGTTAACTAGACACATGGGCAGATAGGCCAGTTAACCCATTAAGCGCCAGCGCTCTCCCCTTGACGAGTAAAATCGTCTGGCGTTAGACAGAGTAAAATCGTCTGGCGTTAGACAGAGTAAAATCGTCTGGCGTTAGACAGAGTAAAATCGTCTGGCGTTAGACAGAGTAAAATGCTAAAGTAGGGTGCATCGCCACTCAATGGGTTATTACTCCCACCCTGCCACCGTGGGTGGAATGATTTTTTGGCTTAGTGAAATCTCTGACTCTGTTATAAGTTAATTGCACACACCTTGATACAGGCCCATCTACATGATACAACTAATCTGATTCTATCCCGGCATATAGGATTCTTATACTGGCATACTGTATGTATGCCAGAGACACAGATTTTCATATTTTCGTTTGGGGGGGGGGTGGTGGATAAATA